CCCCTCCCCTCCCCTCCCCTCCCCTTACAGCAGCTGCCTAGAAGGGGTCAAAGCTCCTTGTGCTAGTAGTTTAATAGGCGAGGAAAGTGCCTGGGTTCCCCCCCCCCACTTTCAAAATACTTGGGGTACCATGGCCGATCTCGCTTCCGGTAAGCATCCTCCCACTGAAATGTGAGGATTTTTGTGCTTAACCAAAGAACAAAATGTACCATTATGGTAACTGACCCCTTGCAACCTGCCTTACCTCTCCCTGCTGGGCGTCGGTGCCTGGGGAGTGCCAGGGAGAGTGTGGGGCAGCTGCCTCTGTGCCCTCTTTAGATGACATCATCCAGCGTAACCAGCGGGCCCAGCCGATCCGGAAGCCCTGGCAGCAGCGGCAGCTGAAGACCCGGAACGGGGCCTCTGGCAACGGGAGGCCTCGATTCCAGAGCTGGGGCCCACCAACCCTGCCAGGTGGGTGGAAGGGACCGGAGAAGGAGAGAGCCAGCCAAGGGGGCTGGTGCCCTTGGCTCTTTGGAGAGAGGCCTCCCCAGCAAGGGAAGGCTGAAGGAGCTGGCATCGCCACCCACTTCGAAATTGCTGGCAAAAGATACAGGAGCAGAGGGGTGCCGGGGAGCACATCCTAGGGGGTTCCCCTCGGGGCAACTGGGTTTTGGGTGGGCTTGGCAGGTATTAAAGGTCCCCGATTTTGAAAAACCTCATTTGAAAAACTCTTTTGTGGACGGAAGCAACCGGGTCGATGAAAAAGAAGAAGAAAGTCTTGGGGTCTGGAGCAATTCCTGCCAAGAATGGGGGGGGGCAGGGGGTGTCAAACACTGGATGAATCCCTCTGGGATAGGAGGTGGAATACATTCTACCCAGGAATCCAAATCAAAGGCTGGCGTTTCCTTAGGATTTCCCAAAGGATTTAGGAAGCCCCCCTGGACCAGGAAGCCCTTCTGGAGCAGGATGAGTACCCCAGGCCCAAGAGCAGCGGGGCAGATGCAGGGCAGGAGCCCCCTCAATCGGCCACCCTTTGCCCAGCAGGTAGGAGCAGACCCCCCCCTCCTCACCCCCCCTTCCTAGGGGCTCCGAGTTGAGGAAGCGCAGCCCTGCAGAGGCCAGAGCAGCCGAGGTGGTGAGTTGCTGGGCGTCTTTTCCAGGACAAGTCAGGGACAGCCCCCCCGGGCAGGAGCAGTGATGGACCCCCCCTGGACCCTCAGCCAGCAGCACCCGCAAGAGCCGAAGCCTTCAAAGCAGCAGGGATGTCGCTGCCATTTCGGAGGTTGGTGGGTTTAGACGTGATTCACGAGGCTTCAGCATCCAGGTGAGGTGGTGAGGAGAGGGCAAATGTGAGGCACTGGTTGAAGGTCCAAGGAGTATGTAGGCGTACCCCCAAACTTTGTACACACTTCGGTTCAGATTGCAGATTTGAGAATAGCATCTATGGCTGTATTTAACTGGAGACCCTTTTCTTTCTGCCAACCGCAGACCCTTCCGATTAAACCAAGGACGAGCCTTCCTCCAGAGCCAAATCAAATTTAACTTCAACAAACGGGTCAGTTTTCTTTCCTTAGCATTTTTCCACTGGCATATTTTATTTTCCTTCACTTCTTGCACTAACTCTGAAAATTCAGTCCCCATTATTTACCCATTTTAAAGATGAGGAGTTGAAGCATAACCAGCTGCTTTACTACTGTTTTTTTTTTCCTTCTCTGCTGGAAGCATCCAGACATATGTGAATGAGGTCCAAATTCTACTGTATTGCTGCTCAATACGGTCTGGCCTGTGCCTTCCACAATTGCTGTTTCACGACAAGCTGTCTTTGAACATGGATGCTGCATTCATCCATGTATTTTTCCACACGTTTGTCTAATTCTTTTAAAGTAATCTAGGCGGGTATGTAACCTGGAAGTCTTCCTGTTTTAGCCATTTAACAAACCATTTTGTTTTCATTTTTTATGCCTGCCCTTCCTGTTCCTTCAACAGCAAATCAAGTCCAAAATGGAGCAGAAACTTTCAAGGGTGAGAAGGTAAATAAACAACAAAGAAGAGACCTTGTTCAACTTTGTCACTGTCTACACGGATTAATGATGGCTTCGCTCTTCTGGCAGGTGGAGAACGCAGCCCACTTCTGGAGCGGTCCTGACCGTCTCAGTGTCCAACCCCCAGGCAGGCCACCTCCAGGGGTATGTTTCCTCCTGAGACACTTGGATTTGGGGGCCCTGGGACCGTGAGTCTTGGACCAGTAGCTCTTTTACGTCTGCGTTGCCTCTGAGATCTGCAGGAGGAAGTCTGTGGAGATTCTCAGTCATCCAGGTCAGGGTCGTCCCAATGATGCTTTTTCAAGAGGCAACTGGGCTTCGTTTTTCCTTGAAGATGTTTCTCTTCTCATCCGGGAAGCTTCTGCCGTTCTGACTGAACGGTGGGGAATGGAGTATAAATCCTTCCTGTCTCCACCATTCAGTCAGAACTGAAGAAGCTTCTTGGATGAGAAGTGAAATGTCCTTTCAAGGTAAAACAAAGTCCAGCTGCCTTCTGAGAAAGCACCTTTGAAATGATCTGCAGGAGAACTTTCCACTGGCAAGCAAGGGGGGCACCGAGGATTTTCTGCCACACACGTAGTCCAGGGGTTGGCGTCTCTGAATCCTCGTCAGCTTTGACACCACCAGGCATCCCTTGCTGTGTCAGCGGGTGAAAAAGAATAACGTGGCTTGGATTTTAGGAGGCATACTTATTTATTTATTTTATTTATTGAATTTATATACTCTTCTGTGGACGGAAGCAACCGGGTCGATGAAAAAGAAGAAGAAAGTCTTGGGGTCTGGAGCAATTCCTGCCAAGAATGGGGGGGGCAGGGGGTGTCAAACACTGGATGAATCCCTCTGGGATAGGAGGTGGAAGTCTAATGAATAAATAAATAGATTTTGAAAGATCAGATTAATCACCAAATGGGACGGCCTGTTTTTTCACATCTCTGCAGTCCAGTGTTTCTCAGCCTTGGTGACTTGCAGATGTGTGGACTCCCATTCCCAGAACTGTCTGGCTTTTTTGCAGGCCGGGAGCAAAGCGACCCTTCCTGAGAAGGTGGAACAGGCAGACCCCGCAGCTCCGCCGGCAGCCGAGAGGAGTGACGCTCAGATTCAACTTCCGGGCTATGGCTAACCAGGTAGAGAACTCTCCCAGGGCAGAAATGACCCCACGGGGACCCTGGAAGGGAAGGAAAGAGAGGGCTGGGCGCCCTAAGTATTTTTTCCAGATGAGATGAAGATCCAAATCGGATATTTTGGGGCTTAAGCGATGGGTGCGCACGTGTGAGGGATTGGGGCCATCAGTCCTATCACCTGATGCTTGATGGAGATGGATGATGTGACCTTCAGCAGAAAAAGGAAAGAGCAGTGTAGATTCCCAGTCAGTTCAGTGGGATCTTTGGCGATCTTTTCCTCCTGGAACTGCCTAAGTGTTTCCCCTACTCCATCGGGGTTTCTACAAGTCCAGACTATGCAGCTTTGCAAAGAAGGAACTGGATCAGAGAAGTGGTCCAGTCTTGAGAATTTAAATAGGGTTTTCCACCTGGAGCCTCCCTGGCAAAGGTTTCTGGGAGTTGAAGTCCCAGAGGAAGGCCTTCGGGATGGGGAAGGTTGGACGAAGCTAATTCCCATTCAGGGAGGGATCCTTCATGCACATCTGGCTCCTGTTTGGGGAATTTCCTCTTACCTTCTCTCTACAAACGCAACTTGGCACCAATTATGTCCTTCTTCTTTAGACCAGCGTGACCCTGAATGAGCGATTCTCTGGGCTGAGGCACGAACACCATTTTGTGGCAGAACGCAATGCAAGCCGGATGGTCACTCTGCCGTAGCCCCCTTCCTTGATGGAGTCAGGCCAAAGGTGGAAAGAGGTCAGCCCTCCAAGGCCACCAGTTATCTGGGACTTACCTGGGGATGACCCTCATCAACCGCAGCTGGGGAGGAGCCTTCTCAATGGAGATGGTACCTTCCAGAGATCCTACTTTCACCTGAGCAGTGGCTCCATTCTAGACTGGCCAAGCCTGAAGGCACCTGCTAAGGAAGCTCTCCAGCTCTTGGTCCTCCCCAGGAGAAGGCTTCATCCTCAGCGTCTGGTATCTCCATCTCTGCCTCTTCACAGCCTCATGTGGATGGGAAGGGTCACCCGGGTGACTCAGCTGAACCCAAAATTCCAACGGTTGCTTGTTTATTTCTTCGTTTGGCCCGGAAAGCCCCTTTTCAGCCTTGTTTTGAGGCACCCACATCCACCGGATTGGGGTGATGACATCCCCTCTGTAATGCAGTCCTTGTGCAAATGACGTAAATTGTGCCATTTATATAAATCACATCAAGGGGTGAGGAAGTCAGGACATCTGATTTCATCACTGTGTCTACCAGATGCATCTATTTGGGAGAATTGTGTCAAATTTTAGTAAACTTTATTCTTAGAAGGAATAAAGCTACTTTAGAATCTGAAAGAGTGGGGCGATGCTTTGCAAAATAATGGAGGGCTTCCTTCTTAAAGCTGCTTTGCTTCAGGCCAATTTTTTAGCCCGCTTACTTGTGAGCAACAGATGCTGCTGCATTGATTTTCACCTACACCGGCAGCTTTCTTGGGGACATTTCCCGTTTTCTCTCCCTTGGCTGAGAATGAGGAGAAGGTCCAGCCAAGAGTCCGATGCACTGCTTGGACCTGGACTGGGCTTTCTTCTGCTGGGTGCAGAATGGCCATCTCACCACTCAGTCTTGGACCTTCCCTCCTCCATCAGGTTGTAGTCCCCCAAGAGTCCCGTTCAGGCCCTTCCATTGCTGCTTTCCTTTCAGCAAAGCCACAAGCCCTTCACCCGGATTGCACTAATCCCCGTGCCTTTTTCTTACTTTGGCTTGAGAGTCATGGCACTTGAGCAAGCGGGACAGCCCACCTGCCTCAGCCCCCCTAAGCAGGACCTTCATTGCCTGTGGGGAAATGCAGTTGCCACCAGGGGGCAGCAGCTGCCAGCTGTCTTCTGAGCGTTCTTCCTGCCTGCTGTTCTGCTCCAGGTAGAAACTTCTCCACTTGGAAAATGATAATAATAATTAAAAAAAAAATCTCACATTTCTCTTTCCCACAATGGCTGCAGCGTCTCAGGACTCAAATCCATTCTATTGTGGAGAAAGGAGCCACATGCAGCACCTGCTAGAGAAAGCTGCCATCAAAGGCACTGGGTGTTCCCGAGTGTCCTTGCATTACTCCATTTTAGCATGCACTTATTAAGACTTTAACATTGGCGAATTAATGAAGCCTTTTTAAAAGAAGCTTCAAACTCCTTGGGGATTGTCTGATGCCGCCTTCAGGGAGGGAAGGAGGGTGTGTGTGTGTGTGTGTGTGAGAGAGAGAGAGAGAGAGAATGTGTGCGCGTGAAGCAGCCTTTGCTTCCTCAGCTGCTCAGTTAAATGGTCCGGAAGAAGGAGGAAGCATCTTCCCTGCCGGCCTTCCCTGCTCACAGGTTCCTCCCAAGCAGCCGGTTGGTGGACAGCCAAGAGAGGCTCTCATAAAGATGGAGCTTGCTTGGCTGGCAGCCACCCAGCGCTGCCATCTGTCAAGCGCCTGGCAAGCAAAGCAGAGCGCGTAGCCAGGGCTGGTCCTGCCTGCCTCCCTGCGAGAGAAGACGTCGCAAGGCTCCCCTGCTAATGGCTGCCTTTCTCACAGGAAGCTCAGCGGCCTGGAAAGGACCGCGAGACCCACAAAAATGTCAGCCACCTGCTCTGCTCCCCCCCCCTCGCCTCGCTCACTTCCTCCCAAACTTCCGGCCTCCCCCTTCTCTTCTCAAGCTCATGGAAATGGGTGCAGTGTTAAACCCCCCCCCCCAGCTTTCCATCTGAAGGTGGGGAATTGGGTGTGTGTGTGGGGAGGGTGTATCATGAAGGACTTGGTAAGAGAACTCGGTGCCCTTGTCAGGGGAAAATGACACCCAACCCAAGGAAGGCTTCAGACATCACATGTTTCTCCAACGCCCGTTTCGAGCAGTGACTCAGTCCTGCCCTGGGGTTTTTCAAGTCATTTCTTGCTGTTTGGAAGAACCTCAACTCTTTAAAGCTGAACGCCACCACCCCTCCCTGATTCTGCTCCTAATCAGACCTGATCCTCCACCCCCAGGACGCCCAAATGGACATTCTTCCCCAAGATGGGGCCAGGCCACACTAAGCACGAGGAAACGTCAGTGCAATCACTAGCTAGGAATGCTGCTTTCTGTGGGATAGGCAAGGCTGCTGGATCCCAGCTGACTCTCTATACAGACCGTAACAAGGAGCCAGTGAAATACCTAAGCATTCATCTGCAGGCAGGAGCTTTAGGGCAGGGGTGGGGAATGATGGGCCTTTTGGAATTCTGGGAGTTGAAGTCCATAGGTCATAAAGGGGCCATCCTTCCCCACCTCTGCTTTAGGGGATTACAAGGGATTGATTAGGTGCCACCAAATTGGCGTTGACCTCTACCAACCATGTAGATCAATTTTTCTCCAGGAGGAGCTGTCCCTAAACCTTGTCATCCAGGTTTTCAAAACCGTAGTCCATCTCCTAGGAGCCAGAGCTACCGTGAATTCATCTTGTCTTCTTATAAAGTCCTGAGAGGAAGTGTTGGTCCCTATATCTTCTGGACCCCAATTCCCTCTTGATCACCCTCTTGATCAGGTTCTCTCCTTCACTTGTCCGTTTTTTCTCTCAAATGTTCATCATAATTCAGTGTTTCCCAACCCTAGTCATTTTAACACGTGTGGACTTCAATGCCCAGAATATCCCAGCCGTTTCTGGGGGTTGAAGTCCTCACATCTTAAAATGGCTGAAGCTGAGAAACCCTGGGAGAAGGGAACTCTCTGGCTCCTCTCTCAGCTGACTGACTCTTTTCTTGCCCAAGTTGAAAGTCCACATGAAGGGATGCAGCCATCCAAATAATTATTCAAGAAAACTCACTCTCATAGCTGCCAAACAAGACTTATGTGTCTCCCTTGATGTTTCTGGTCACTCAAACCAACTCAGGCATCACCAGCGTGCCCGTGAAGGAAGTAGATTCTTGCCCCAAAGTGCTCCAGTTGGTGTTGGCTTCAACAGAGGCCACTTGGGTGTTTTTGACCCCATTGATGGATACTCAACTCCCAGTTGGGAGAGGTTCTTTTGCAGCTCATCCTGGTCTGTGAAGCTGAAAGCGTTTTGGAGTCAGCCCCAAAGGTGGGCATTCACTGCTTCCCCTTGCCCCTCTTTAGGAAGGCCCCACGGGGTGCCCTCTTCCTCTGGCAGACACCCAGTCACTGCTGCTTTTCCACTGAGAGCCTTGTCAACGTCTCCTTGAAATTTCATGTGCACTTTTGCCACATGACTTAACAATAAATAAACTAGGACATCCCTTTGGAGAAATCAAGTCAGTTCAACTTCAGCAATATCTCTTCTTCTCTAACATTAATGAAGAAAACATGCAGTGAACTGGGATGTAATATTCTGTCTGGATGATTTGTCAATTTTTCATTTGTTATTAAGGCTTCATCTCCTTCCTTCCTTCCTTCCTTTCCTTCCTTCCTTCCTCCCCACCTCACTTTCAGTGTGGATCTCCTTGCCCGTTCTGAAGACCAACTTGACGCCACTTAGGAGAAATGCTTGAGCTGTTTTGGAACTTGCTGTTGATTCCAGCTGCATTTTCCTTCCATCTTGGTAAACGGGCACCTGAGGCCAGCCATGCCCTGTGTCTTCTTTTTGCAAGCAAGACTCGCCAGGGCCGCCCATCCACTTGCCAGCCGTGCTTGTCTGCTTTTAGAAACCGGGGCCTGCTTCCTCTGTCATTACAAGTATTCTTCCTCCATTTCGGTAACTTGCATGTTCGAGAGTTTGTGGGCAGGAAGTGGCCACCCTTCGTTCTCTCTGCTGCCCTTAATACATTTCTAAAAAAGATGAGCTGTAGAAGAGGATGTGATAATTGCCGGGGGGGAGCACAGCCACACAACAGTGGCAGAGATGAAATATACAGGGGGGGGTCCTCGGAGGGGGTGTCACACAGGTCAAGATGGCGGCCAGCGATGCACCCAGAAAAGGGGCAAGGCTTTGAGTGTATAGCCACGGCTGCCATGTTGACTTTTGTTCACAAACACACACAACCCGTGGAGGCATCTGCATCTGGCATTGTGCTAAAACTCACTTGTTGTTCCTGTTTTACTTAGCCTTCTCTTTCCCCTGGAATTCTGGACCCCGTTTAGAACAAAGTTGGCTTCGAGAAATGCCCAGTCCATTGTCCATGCCACTTTCTTGGATGTCATTGGCACTGCCTGCCTGCCCTTTTTGCCTTTGTCCCAAAGGAAAACACCTTCTCAATACCTAGCCCTTCTACCCAGCCCGCTACAGCCTCACAACCCTGTTGTGCAAAACAATGTCTGGGCCTGGAACCCACCTTGCAGAGTAGCCCCCCCCCCCGGGAGACAGAGTCTCCAGGGCTACCTGACATTCCACCTTTTGCACTTTTTCCCCCTGATACTTTTGGAGAGCAGCTTCCCATGAAAAGGAAGTAAAACTGTGGGTGAGCCGACCCACCTGATTGTTTACTTGGCACAGAGCTAAGCCAGGAGTACAAGAATAAAATAAATTGCAGTCCCTTGTCCGCTCTGGTGCTCAGACCGTTAATCTGGCCACAAGCTGGAAATTATTTGCACTCCATTTGCTTGCACGCTTCACTTGTTGGATGACACGGCCTGCTCGGGGCGTCCCTCAGAAGAAGAATTTAAAAGTACAGTCTCTCAGGAATCTTTCTTGTTCTTGGCTTGGCTAGTTTTTTGCAATTTGCTCTTGGTCCAGTCGGAGCTGTTTTGACCTGAACCTCCTTCAGGTTGCCTTCAAGGCCTGCTGACTTCAAGGTCACCTCTATGGAGATGCCTTCGCAACCCTGAGGACCTGGTTTGCTATCACCTTCTTTCCAAGATGGTTTAAATGTCTCAGTCTACTTTAGAAAGAGGGATGTCCCAACCAAATGCTAAGCCAGTCTGATTCTGCAGCTTCTCCACCTAGAGAAGATCAGCCAAGCGGGATGACATACAGATGTTGCAACACCTGGACCTGGGAGGAATTCGTGTGGGTGTCGATTATGCTGCCTTCGTGTGCCCTCAGTGTGTTCTGAGCAAAACTCTGCAATGGAAACATCTGAAAAGCCCTGTCACACCACGCTGGAAGAGCGGCAACTGGTGGTTTCCTTGGGGGAGATGTGGTTCTGATGTGAAGCATTCTCAGGTATTTTTGGCTGCTTTTTCTAAGTAGCAACCAGAGTGCATATTGATCCTTCAGCCACCAAATTGCCCTAAAGTTAACACTTCCGGCCTGAAAAACACTAGTTAAAGTTTTAAAAATTACAATCTCACAACCTTCCTCCCTGGCGGAAGTTGACGGATGGAGTCTTTGTCTTGACTCTTGGGACCTCACTCCTAGCAGCCACCTGGAGGATGCTTTCAGCCCCCCCCCCCCACGTAAC